AGTGGCGTTCCTTGGAACTACGCCTTGCAGTCATTTTAAAAGCCGTTCCGCGGAGGGAATTTCTGTGCCGTTTTTCGCGGTTACAGCGCGGAGGGAAGTTTTCTGCCGTTTTTCGCGGCTACGGACAACGGCGGCTCCGCTCCGTGGGACAGTTACTGCTTTCGCATTAAAAACCCAGTGTAACTTTTCGCTGCCTGGCATCTGGATTATGGGGAACTGTGAAATCCATCTGGATTTTATACGGATTTCAGGTTTTCAGAAATGATTCCCTCGTCTGCAATCTGGATTTCAGGTTTCCAGAAACAATTCCAGTTACATTTGCAGTTTCGTAATCCACATAGTGAAAAAAAGTTATACCGGGTTCTTCGATAGAGCGATCAAGGTGATAATCGTGCAACTCTAATTACAAATAAAACTAAAAAAAAGAAGAATTTCTAACTGCTTCAGAAGCAAGCATTGCACTAAACAACGAATCCAATATTACACAGATGCATATTACAAAGTTACGTTATATCTTTCATTCCGTAATGGGCGTAATCAAAGGGACGCTATTTTGGTAAGTTACTGCGGAAAGGTACTCTAAAGCTCCGGTCATGCAGCTGATACATCATCCTACAAAAGAAAGACTGCGGACACTGTCTGGCTGGGGAATAAAGGGGCACTCAGGTGGATTCTGAAATCGTGTTTTTATGGCGATAACTTAATCTACGAGCTCTAAGCGTCCTAAACACCCCCCCCCCCTTTTTTTTTTTTTGCCAGGAAAAATAAATTACACTTACGGGCGGCCGATTTCCCTATTAAACTTCTAATCAAAGATCGGGACACGCCCCTCTTTCTGCGCCGAGCAGACACCCGGGGAGAGGGGGGGGGGGGGGGGGGGGGGGGGCGTTGGACGGCGTTTTTTTAACAATAATTATGCTGTGTTACGTCTCCCATACATCCAAAGATTTGACGTTTTTGTCAAAATATAATGCATAACGCGCCTATACGGATAAATATAATAGTAACGTGCGAAATCTCCACGAACTTAACTATTTTACGGAGGTGGTGGGGTACCCGAACTTGGCCTCTCCAAGAGAATATAGTGCCCGTGTTTAGCAATTGCTGTGGGTTTATTAGGACACCTTGACATCCAGAACTGGTCATTTTTGTTGACGAAAGCTAAAGAAACAACATGCCATCAAAAACAAGTTTCTACAAAAAGGACTTGAGTGCCCCTTTAAAGTTTGTCAGTGGACACGCCAAAATGTGTGGTGGTTCAGTCACGGAGTCACCCACAAAGGCTCAGGTGTAAGTTCTACAAGTCTGACCTGCAAAGCGAGGTTTTGCATCCGTATTCAAAGTCAGAACGAAGATGCTAATATTTATCACCTACGGCGGAGGTACCAGAAGCCCATTAGGGCTCAACACAATCTCCCGCTCTCAAAATCAACAACACTGACACTCTCATCTGAGTTGAACCTTGATCATTACTCGACGATCGGTTTCGTAATTTAGTGCACTTACTGCTTTCCAGTTCACGCGCACAGCCTCCAAAGCTGACGCTCGAGCGTATACGCAAAAAAAAAGCGTAAATCCCCGTTTCATTCACTGGCCCCAAACCGTTTCTTTTTCTCGATCTCCGCCATACCTGCAGTTCAGGCGGTCGCGAAGAACAAGACTGCCCACACGAGCGCATACCGCGAAAAGAACAACAATCAACTTGTTGTGTACCGCCCGAGGAGACGCCCCGAGACTTCATTGCCCGTGCCCTGGCGAGACGTTGTTGGAAACAGATGAAATGGGGGGCACCTCCCTCCCACTTAAGTCAAGTGGATCTTTAAGTCCGCCGTCCCTCCTGGATAAGTGTACGCGGCCCTAAACGCCCGGCTGGCATACCTTCTGCGCGCGCGGGGGCCCTAACCGCGACGCTATCATTATACCATCCAGGCATTCGCGATGCTTTTGGTCTAAATTTTGTTTCGCTACAGGTGTCGTTTTTGTTTTGTTAGTTTTCTGCTCGCTCTTTTCCCTTTGTGTTTCCCCACCTACTCTCTCTCTCTCTTTCTATCGCTCACTTTCTTTCTATGCTCTGTTTGACCTTACGATGAACCGCGGAGAACACTATACAGCCGAAGACACTACGAGCCAGTCAAGTCAATCTAGTGTCGCGTGAGTGTCATGTGGCCTTTGGAAGGGGCGCAGCGACGAATGGGATGCGCAGTCACGTGACCCGTTCACAGTGCCTGATTGGTTGAAATGGCTCGTAGCGTCCGCTACCGTCTATCACAAGGTGAAACGGACTATATTTGCTTTTATCTTTTTACGCAGTTTGGACGCAGGCCCACCGGGGATTCGAGTATCACGATCGCGTCGAAACGGTCGCTGCACGAAAAATCCTTTTGTAGTTAAGAAGAATAAACACAGGAGAAAAAAAAAAAAAAGTACAAAGTTGGCGTCTCAATTAAGCCTGGTTTTCGGCGAAGATTATACCTTTCTGGAGGGTTTTCTTTATAAATTATTACTGACGCAGTACAAACGACAGTCGGCTTTCTCGTGTTTCTTCTGAGGCACAAGCGATCGCTCTGTCGAATAACGCGCGTATGTGAGTCAACTTTAAAGGGAAATATTGGAAGGAGATGTACGAGTTACAATTACCATCCCGTCTAATTACTCGACTTTGCAAACCAGTTATTCTGTTCACTTTTTTTTTTTTTTTAACATTATTACGAGTACGAAGACGTGCATTTAGCGAGCCATGCAGGAATAGACGATCCAGAAAACATTCGAAATGCGGTCACCTTTCTATTTAGAGATGGCATTAAACTCTGCGACCGTGGTGTACCTGCGACGAGCACTTGGCGAAATATTTATGTTTATGCCAGTTTCGAATTCACACTCCGCTTCACATTAAGTCCGACTGCAACCAAAGCCACGATCCCAGTGAGTCGATCAAACAGCGTCAAAAGTGTCTCGTCAAGGCACAAGTTATCTTTGTTGGTTGGCCATTTACGCGCAACGAACGATTAACGGTTCCTGAGACAGACGAAGTTCTATTATTGTTTTCACGATAGCAGAACATACCAAGTTCTATCATCGTTTTAAACCCAAGGACTCATTGCGATTGCAAAATCACGGAGTGGTGAACCCTCTGTTCATCATTTCATTCGTAATTCAATCACCGCTAACGACGCAGTAGACACACGTGAGAGAAAAAACAAACAAACAAGGCGCACCTCCCGAGATGAACTCGTCGCTTGGTATCCAGCAGATGGACAGGCGGGTGTCCCGGGCGATCCGCCCTCGCCTATAGGTGGTGATCTCGCGTGGGTGAGAATCTCTGTCAGCGCGCCACAGAGCGGGCCACTCTTCCGGCGAAGTTACAACGTAGTACATGCATCATCATCTTCGAGACAATGTCAACGGTCCGAGGTCGTAAAATTTTGGCAGCTTTTATTGCCTTCCCCGTGGCGCGCCAGGTTTCGATACGTACGTGTTTTTCGGTGCGCTGGTTTTCTCCTATCGTGATAGACGGACACGACGTGTTTCGCTCTCTTCAAGCGCTGGTTTTACATCCCGAGAGAGACAGTCATAAAGATATAGCATAGTAAAAGTTACCAATAAGAGAATAGAGTGGGATACCCGAGGGACAGAGCCGTTAAAAGAGGAACAAGCTATCAGCGTGTATACCCGTACGGGATGTGCTTCCAACGTAGTACATACACCCCGATAATAATTTGGGCTGGACGTTAATTAACTTTAATTTGATTAATAGAATGAATTTGGTTGTCGAACCAATGAATCGGGTACCTCAAAGAAGTGCTACGTATTACACTTTGTTTAAACTGTTCTACATCTAGCAAACGTCCAATTGTTCTTCTTTAGGTAGTTACTAAAACGTTTTCTTTTTTTGCAGACTTATGACAGAGCTTTTAGTGTCTGCACCTATTGGGGAGGATAGTCAGCCATCGCGCGTCTAGGGGCTAAGTTGAGAACTAAACTCAGGGCCAACAACAGCTTGGATTATTCGTTTATGTTTCTAACGCGGCGCTCGGTTGACATTGCAGAACGCAGCGTCAGCACTCGGCTGGGGCTCGTGTTCAATCAGTTCCAAATGAACGCCCCCCCCCCCCCCCCCCCCCCCCCCTGCGCAGCATTCATATACGATCTGTGTTCCGAGCATGATCGATTTATATGACGCAATTAACCAAGTCGGTAGACCTTGTGTCTTGTAACAAGAAGCTCTGTCGAAAATAAGCTGGACAATTGTCCAGCTTATTTTGAGCTAGAATTCGATCCTGGCTAGCCAATAGCTCGTGCTTGATATTTTAACAGCGGTAACTACTCATTCATAGATACATAAACTATAATGCTTTATAAGCGGGGTACTTCTATACACCTATTATATTAGGAAATAGGTCTTGAGGTCTAAATAACACGCCGCCAGGACTTAATCATCACGTGGCATTAATATATTTGATAACTGTATGAGAGATTGTGAGACGCGTGTGAGACAATCAACAGGGTGGAAAGTGGGCACGTGCTTTTCATTATCTTCTGACCGCTCTGGACTGTACGGACATTCACCTCTGTTCGCGTATAGCAGAGGAGGATCACGCATCTACAGTAGCTGGCATCGGGCACAGTGAAGATTAAGAGTTACCTCTACTCCTTGAGGTACCGTGAAGGACCAGTGCCTTCCAAGGTTTCACCTCGCGGATTCGCTGCATGCGTTGCGCGCACAGCCACATCACCAGCATATTTTATCCACACAGGTGGGAAGTTATACATGACTTGCACTTGCGTCACACCAGTTGCCATTATGGTGTCCTTGCTGCTGAGCACGTTCTTTTTGCAGCATACATTTTGCGCCACCACATTTGTTTCCCTCGGCAAAAGCAAGTGGGAATGACCATCAGCATGGTTCGATGGCGTCACGTGCAAGCCGCGAAAAAGACTAAATAACTATTGACAACACTCAGAGCAGCAAACAGGCAGAGGTATAAACTCCGGGTACTCACGCACACACTCGTGAGCATCATGGGCCGTGGCTCGACCCCAGGGTCTGTCGAAGTGGAACGGCTTGCACTTCTCGCAGTCTCTTCCCGCCGTGTTGTGCTTGCACTCACAGGCCAGCTGACCGTCCCTGTTCTGCACGCACCGGGATCCGTGTCCATTACACTTGCAGCGACCCCCGACCGCGAAGTCGGACACCGCGTAGTAGAGAGAAGCTTCCCGGGGCACCAGGGTGTCGTTGTCCAACGGCTCGGGCGTCCAGTTGGTGAGCCGGTTGAAGACCACCTTGACGTCGGTGGCCGTGACCCACTCCTGGAGCACGGGACTACTGTCAAACTCGTAGGCAGACGGCCGGCCCTCCAGAGTACTGAACGCTATGCGTGCTCCAGATAGCTGTTCCGTCGTTGACTGAGGGTCGGTGCAGAGCGGTTCTTGTTCGTTGGCCTTGGTGATGAGCGCCCTGTTTTGACGACCGTACATCTTCCGACACTGGGACGAGTAGAACTGGAACGGCTGCCAGGACTTGCCGTAGTCCGTGCTCTTGTAGACTGCAAGAGAGTCCGGCTTGGCGCCGCAAAACTGGAGGCTAATATAGGTCAGTTCATATTTTTTCCCGAGGCTCAGGATGAGAGACACGTTGTAAAGGGGCTGCGGGAACGGCTCGGACATCCAGCACGTCACGTTGTTCGGGTTGTTCAGGTCGGTCAGGTAGGAGGCCGGATGCCGCCGCTTGGGATTCCCGGCATCGCAGATCTGGCAGTTCCGTACAATCTCGCCCTTGTCGTCGGTGGCCGTGTTGCAGTAGCGCGACGGCGGCGTGCCGCACTCGGAGCTGGTGCGCACTTCCTTGCCGAAAGCGGCGTTCACGAAATCCGGGATGCAGCGCCGTGGGTTGTTCATGTCGTCGTAGCACGGGTCCGACTGGGTCTGGGCGGCGAACATGGAGGCAAGGTAGGCGTTGCCGACGTTCCCGCCGGTCCGTGCCGCTGCCGCCGCCAGAAGCAGCGGCAGCAGGGACACGAGCGCTGACCTGGCGGCTCGCATTCAGGGAGACGCGGCGGCTAGGACGACGTGGTGCCGCGCTGCCCGACTCATACTGACGGCCGCCCGCCGCGGTTCGAACGGAGCGGCCGAGGTTCCCGCGCCGCTCGTCGCCGCCGGTTCCCATTGGCTCCTGGCCGCTGGCGTGGGGGGCGCTCGTGCTCCTCCGAGGGGCCAGGTAGACACGCTTCGCTTCTTGGGTCCTCGCAACTTGGGCTAGTTCGATCGCCGTTGCGGGCCCTTGTTCCTGTACGGGCCGCTGTTTGTAACGGCCGTCGCGGTTTGCGTTTTGAGACGCATGAATTGTGCTTCTGCGGTTTGCGGTTTGAAACATATAATTTGTGCTTATATGTACATTTTTGACGTAGTCCTGGGCTACAAATGTTTGATCTCTTCCAGCTCATCATAGTGCTCAACATATCTTGTGGTGGGCACTCAAATGCAAGCCGTGACACAATACACTGAATTTAGCTAAGCATTTGTTATTTTAAACAACACCTAGAAATGATTTGTTTGGATCAGCGCAGTTGCTTTTCATTATTTTCGTCCCGCGGTGTGTGATATTTCAATTCGCGTTATTATGACGCCCGCTGAAAAACCCGGCGCTCAAAACATGGCTACCTCCTCCAGTTAATCCTGAGAAACTTGATTATTTCGAGCGCCCGTTCAGGAGACGCGGGTAAGTTAGAATTATGTGTTCTTCACTACTTTGCGCCTATGTTTTTTTTTTATTATCAATATTTTTCACTTCGTTTCATTCGTAGGTTTTGACAACCCGTCCCATTCTTGCCGACGGAACTATCGAGAAGATCCCAGCGACACGCGCCGAAGTTTGCTTCAGCGCATTACACGGATGTCATGATGTGAAGCCCGCTTCGGGTTCGACTGGCACTGCGTCAATTTCGTACATCACCGATTGGTGTGGCCCAGGGATGAGCAGTATTTCAAGTACAAGTATTTGAAATACGTATTTCAAATACAAGTATTTGAAATACGTATTTCAAATACTTTGTGTATTTTGCATTTGTATTTAATTACAAATTGGGTAATGTATTTCACGTGTGTATTTAAATACTAAAACGTGAGTATTTAAAATACAATTGTAATTAAATACAATTTTGTGGGCGAAAATACATTCCTCAAATTTATTGTCACGATAATTCTTGTTTTTATGCATGTGGTTGTAAGATATAGTCTCCATTTTTTATTTGGCCATAGGGCTTTTTTTTTTTTTTCTCCTCCGGCTTTATTTTAAAGGCACCCTCCAGAGCAGGAAGAAAACTACGTTCTGCACCGAATGCAGTGTCTCTCAATTAAGCACAAGCGTTTAGTGACTTTTTGATTAGGGTGCTAGTCCAGGGCAAGAATAGTGACGAAATCGACGTTCACAGGCAGACTGGCTAAATAAGTACCCGTGACAACTTGTGATGCTTTCCAGCCTGATTTCCATCCATATTTTTGCCTGGAACATTCTAAATGCGCGGGTCGTCCAGATTTTCGTAACTGGTGGGAGTTGCAACAATAAAATGATGTTGATTGGGGCGAAGCTCTGGTGGTGCTTGTCTGCATAGACGCTGAGCTGCAGCATGCCGAGCCTTTCGTTCGTTTTCATCCATGTCACGCTGCGGTCAAATGCTCAAATGCGTATATAACCACGTTCCATAGCACACATTCTCTTTCTGACATGGATGAAAACGAACAAAAGGCTCGGCATGCTGCGGCTCACCATCTACGCAGACAAGCACCACCAGAGCTTCGCCCCAATCAACATCATTCACCACGTGGAGATGCGTTTGTTTCTTTTTTTTCCTACACGAGCACGAAAGCACGTGCTCACGTGCTCGTGAGCACGTGAGCGCGTGAGCTCACGAGCAGGAGCACGTGAACCCGACGGCAGACGGACATACGGACATGGCTAGCCCCTAAGGAGCTTCGCCCCTAAAAAATTTTCTAGCTATACTCCGTTTCACCTTATGTTGTACCGCAGCGAAGGCTAGAAGCGCGACCTCATAGCGTTGGGAGCTAGTAGGGAGTTTTAGTAGATCGTTTTCTAAGGCCCGCTACCGCCACGAGCGCGCGATTCAGAGCACGCATCGAAGTGGCAGCTCGAGCTCCCGCTACGATTATCGTGGCCTGAAATCACGATCTACTAAAACTCTCTACTGTTAACGCACGAGAGCTTGTGCTACCGAGATGTGCCCTAGAGCAAGGAGCTCGCGCTTGTAGCCTTTCCTGCGGTACATTATAAGGTGAAACAGAGTATAGTGCTGCACGTCTTGGTCGTCTCGGTTCTGCGTTGGTCTATACCAAAATGTAATCGACAAAAAAAAAGCTGCTTGAAGCTCTGTACTTTTTTCACCTACTACGTCCAAGCTGATTACATTTTTTTGTGATTATATTTCTATTACGTTACTAGAGCCTCGCACACTAACTCCCGAGTGTGCGATGCAAAATTAAAATGAGATACCCAGAAACCCGTTGCAGGTGCCTTGAAGTCGCTGACGCAAATTTTGAGGAATGTATTTGGAAAAGTATTTGGAGGAGACCAAATACATTTGGTTGTATTTGTATCTTGTACTTACATGCTTTTTTGGAAATGTGATTAGATTCGTAATTAAATACATTTTTGACGAAGTATTTTGTATTTGTATTTCGATACATATTTGCATGTATTTTGCCCATCCCTGGTGTGGCCTTAACAGCGACTCATAGTTAGCCAGTCAACGCAGACCGTATCGCCCTTATCAGGGTTTATTTTTCAGAACTTGGATAAAATCCAGAAATGCGCCTCAAATGAGGTTGGTTCGTAGACACATCTCTCGAATGTGAACAATTATTCAGTAAGCTTTGGATTATCCGAGAGTTCTCATCAACTGTATGATTTATTTTAATACTATTTTACTAATATATTTAGTTAACTTATTTTGATTAAAACAGAATAAACGAACATCGAGAATATTCTTGCCAGACCGAAGCAGCAATTTTTTTTTAACGTGCAGATAGGCCAATAAGTTTTAGTAAGCATAAAGACAAACAAATGCTGTTTACCGACGTAACAAGATCTGCTTTTCGGTGACCCACACAATACTCTCTATCACTGATTCTCTCCAGTTATGTCCTGTGGTTAGTTGGGGACGTTCAAATATATATATATATATATATATATATATATATATATATATATATATATATATATATATAAGTAATTGCTAGGCAAAGTGTAGTTGTCATATTTTGTAGCAGCGGCCTTTGTTGACTCGGCTAATTGAACGAGCCTTATGGGTACCTAGCGTCAAGCTCTATAGCAGAGAAGGCTTAGGGGTTGGTTAAGCCAGCGTCACGTGAGATAAACTTTAGCGGAAGTGTCTGGGCAGACACCTTACGTGGCTCAGCGTCCTAGATATTTGGTCATTATTTTTCCAATGTTTGACTTTTGGCCCAGCAAAACGGCATCAGCCGTTGCCTAGCCGATATTTACGGATGACGCAACGTGGCAAGGCTAGTATAAGGAAGTTCTGTTGCTCACTTCTGCTTTGACACCCTAACTCTACCAATTTTCTACAGTTTTATGCAAAAAAGTAAAAGGGATTCTGAACGTCTATTGATGCAATAAATGTTTTAACCGTAAAGTAGTGTTACGTATATTTGACGCTTTCATTTATATTTAGGATCAGAGATTACCTTCATTCTATGCCCTTCTTATTATTATTTCTGGCCTTAATACAAAAAGAAATTTGTGTAACAAAACGCACGTCGTTTTTTATGTGACACTTTCACTTGTGTCGCGATTCAGGAAGTTGCTTTTCAGGGGGCCGAAGGTACAAAAATTACAGCGAAGCGTTTTAGTTTTTTTCTTCTTTTTTCTTCCAAGGAACGGTCACTGAACTACGGCGAGAGTGGCGACTATCTCAGAGGTCATAAAAAAGATATGCCGCTACAAGAACATGTAACTAAAAAAGAAAAAAAATACGCTAGTGCCATTATTTGCATTTTGATTCAAAATGTTGAATGGCCGTTTCATAAAATACTCAAACACGCAATCAGTCGGCAATAAAAAAAAGTAATTTATGTGTTAGAAATAAACATGTCATGAGCAGCATGAACAGATGGAAATGTCAGTGGTATTATGAACCGCGTGGATCATTTACGTCTCAAGATATTCTTCAATAGGTCCAATTTAATTAGAGATAAGGATGCGAGGAAGCGTTGCGTTTGTAAACCTTCGTAGCGTTTGCAATGTGCCTCCTTTTTTTCTATGCAGAACTGGCTGAACCAACGCCGCCCAACACTGTCCATGCGGAATGCAAGTTCGTCCGCTTCTCGCGGAGGGGTTGCGGTAACGCCAGAGCGTCAGAGCTCTGATCGGCTCCGATTGGAAGGATAGTGGGTATAGACCTCAATGCTCGCTGCCTTGAGATCTACCCACTGTCCAATTTGCGCTCGTCATAGTCACTGACACTTAATTTACATCTTTTTGCGTTGATTCGTTCTTCGGATCAGTTAATGCCGCAATCTGATTGGCTGCGGAGCTGTAATTAGATGCGTGGTCTCGCCACGCCCTGCGTTTCTTAAGCTGTCAGTGAATATAGGCTAAGTTGGTTGTATGTTCTCCAACCGAATCCACCGTGTTACATCGAGAAAATGAAAAACCCGCTTTTTCGGCCCGCATAAGTAAACACCGCTTCGCAGTACTCTGAAACTTTGTGGGAATGTGACGCTAGTTATGATGACAAAATGCAAAAGTTTGAGCACATGCAGTTTACTAATTCAAAAAATTAAAAAAAAATTCTCGATGAGCTGACTTGTACCTGTCTAATATTAATTCAACCATAATTCGAGATTGTGGGCGTCCATACCCTTTATTTCAGTGAAAAACAAACACACAAAGAAACTTTTCACATAGAAAGACGATGTAGTTTTCTTTAATGCTGGTAAGGTTTTTTAGTGACATAATTGCTAC